TGTTAAGGGTTTGTTTGGCCCGTTTATACACTCCGATATTATCCAGCATGGCTCGGGTTGAGGGGGCATGTTAAAGCATTTGTTACACACCGGAAAGTTATAAAACAATTAAACACTATATAAGGCTACTCCTCCTATCATGTTAACCTTTTTGGATGGAACCCCAGGTCTTAACAAAAATGTTTAAAATAAGTACCCTACAAATTACATTAAATTTTTAAACCAAACAATGTAAATAGTTTACTTATTTACACTTTGTATGTAAAGTTTTTACTTTACACTTTAACAAACGCCCCATAGCTTGAATTTGATTGAGTCTTAGTCAAGTTTTGAACGAGGGTCTTAGTTAGCACCTTAGCCTCTCTCTCCATCTAAGAAACAAAGACAAATCATATATTAAGGCACTTTTAGGTTTTGAAGCAATTTCCGACAATAGCATTACCCATTTTTCTACTTTACTTTGAACCGTCATCCAACATCCCATAAGATCACAATACTATTTTGATTATGTTTGGCACATTGAATTGGAACTCGAGGCTAATGTCTGAATTAGATATTATTGTCTAAATGAGATATTATTGTCTGAAATTGAAATTTGAAGTGTTGAATTTGAATGACTGACTGAATCAAGTATACCTGTTTAGCAAAAAGAGCTGAAAGAGTAACTGGAAAACACACCATTACAATAAAAGGCATATATTGTTAAATAATCCAATGAAGCCTTCGTAAATACGGAGTACTACATATATTTCAAGTCTTATAAAAACTTATAAACATGAATGAGGGTAAGGGTATTTTAGGTATGAAAAATGTGTTGGTGTAAACTCTAGCTTTATCAACATGTACCATACACTTAAGTCATTGTACTATTAGTCTGTTTTATTTATCCATCTATTAACGTCTATTATCATGCCGTCACTACAACTGTTCAACTACACACACTCAATCCACTTCCCCGTCTCTCGTTAGAACACACTTGGTTTGACTCAGAGAGACACCGACGCTGCTCACGCTAGCATTCCTCAACACTCACCCGCCCTCTTACCCTTCTTATCCAGCTTTCTCCCGTTAGGTAAGGTATTATTTTCCTTTCTTGTGATGATTAATTGATAATAATTGAATTAAAATAGGTAGTTCCATATACAACTGCAATCGATCGTAACCTATGCTTCTTTCTATCTTTCTATCTTTTTACGAGTCCACATACTCTGGTACCTCATTTACTTTTTCTAAATCTTGAGTGCTTGCCAGGTGAGGCTAAGAAATATATATCAGGGCTCATGAGTATATTTTGGCTAGAGTATGATTTTATCCTCTTTAGGAGGTCTAAATCAATATATTGAGACTCCCTCTTTTGATGTTAATTTAGTTATGGGTCTTTATAAATGATTAAAGATGATGATTTATAGTGTTTGTTAAACTAGACAAATATTACTACTTGTTAGGTTTGCAAAGATGGTTCTATTTGATAAATCAACAAGACACTATGGGTTGCAAACACTCCCTAAACTATCTAGCTGCAACCCGAGTTTCCGGCGTTACTAACCCGAAAGGCCGAAAAAGCTCCTCCTTTTACACCATCGGAGCCAGTGCCTATCCTTGTCATGACCCGGCCATCTCCGACGCCTCTGGTACGTTTACCGTCAATCCTGCGCCACGTGGAACACCCCAACACCTGTTCGAGGTTAAGCCTAAACTGTAACTGATGCTTATGTATATACTCTGTAAAAGCAATAGATAAATAAGTAAAATGGATGTGAAAAGACGATTGCCAGAATGGATGCATTGTTTGCCTGCTTCTGATCATGGGAAGAAGTCTGGAACTTGAGATTTCAGTAATGGTCAAAATGGCGAGGAGGTTGAGATTAAGAGGAAATCCAAAATGAAAGAAGTAAATGATGGTCAGGTAAAGAAGAAAAGAAGAATCAAGGATGCAAGCAATTGTGGAAGTGCGGAGAAGGGGTTGAAGAAAAGATCTAAAACTAAACATGTAAAGTCTGGTGAAAACATAGATGCAAGGGAAGTAATGAAAGAAAATGCAAGTGACAATTGCGGAAGTGAAATGGAAATAAAGTTGAGAATGAAGCAGACCGGAGATAAGCAGCATAAAAGGGCGAGGGATGATACAAATGACTTGGGAAGCAGGAGAAAGATAAGTTTGGAAGATTACAGTTGTGACTTTGAGCCAAAAAAACATTTGGAGTACAAGAATATATTACTGAAACTGAGACTCCTGCGAAAATAAAAAGAACGAAGGCAAAGAGCTCTGCAAATGAGATAACTGATAAAAATGAAGGCTTGCCAGAAAATGAAGATAAGGAGGATGGCTTTGAAGATGAAGATCTTACTGTTGATGATTTGTTGACTATCGCTAAAGAGATTGTTAATGAAGAGGGCAAAGCTGAGCAAAAAGGTAATTGTAGATTAACCGGGACTGAAGAAGAACGTGAGGCCCTTCCCCCTTTACCGAAAATCACACCAAATCTATCTCAGACTATGTTGGAGTTGATTTTGGGCCCTCTGTATAAGAGCGTTCAATGAAAGGAAAATGTAAGAGACAACATTGAGTTCACTCATACACATCCAAATTTTCAAATGGAAGTAGTGATGTCAAGGATCATCCAGCTCCTCTGTCAACAAAAAAGGAAGACTCAAAGACAAGGTAGCTCATAAATATATACACAACGTTTGGCTTGTAAAGGAATACACTTCCTCCATTATTGGGGATGCTATTTGGGAATTGGGTTTTGTTCTGGAGAGTTTTGGCGGGGAAGGGAAAGGGGAGTTATATAGTTTGTGATGCTGTTATAAATAAATGACTAGGACATTATATACTAATTTTCCATTCTATATCTTTTATTTTGATAATAAAAAAAATCAACAAGACACTATTTGGTTCTGGAATCATGAAATAGTTTTTGGAAAAACCCAAGCAAAGAAAATTTATGGAGTACAAAGATTGAGGGTCAACAATTTTAGTGGAAAATATAGCCCCAAACCTCGCAATTATTTGAAGGCTGCTAATTTGCAAATCAGTAAAAAGAAAACATAAAAACATACCCTTGTGCAGTTCAAGTCATGCTTTCTGAGTATTGGTATTTCTTTAACCTTGTCTATTTGTTCTCTTTGACTTATTAACAGGGATAAAACATAAGTCAGAAGTTTTACTTTCTAGCGTAATCAAATTGTAATTTGAAGGGTATGGGCATCGTTATCGCCATTCCTTCTTTGATCTATATCTTTATTGTACTCTCTAGGAGAAATGAGCCATTGTATCTATTGCCTATTTATAATAAAAATTTCTTGCACTATTTTCTTTTCGTGGCTATTTTGCACTTATAAAGTGGCATAATATAAATGACACTCTGCTATTAATCATCACTTACAGGTCAATATCTTATTCAAGTTAAACTAGAGATTAATAAGACACTATGTTGGTTTTAGAATTAGAGAATAGCTTTTGAAAAACCAAAGGAGAGAAAATTCATGGAGTAAAAGGATTATCTGTCAATAACTTTAATAGGAAATCTAGCACCAAATTAATCTTTTAAATAAAGGGTCAAAAAAATGGCAACAGTAGTGTTTCAAATTAAATTTTGACAATATGAGAGAGGGGCATAGTTAGGACAAATTAGCTGTTATAATTTGATTTAGGGAGTTAGAGGGGGAATTAGAAGCAATCTGAGAAGCTATAGAAGGGCTGTGAGAGCAACTATTTGTTTCATACTCTCTACGCCTTTTGCTTAGTGCCTCATATTAATGCCCCTAATTTCATATTCGTTCGATAAACTCTTACTGATGTCCATAAAGTGTCAAATTCAGTCAACCACTACTTTATTGTGTTCATTATATTCTAGGGATTTAGATTTTTTTAATTAAAGATTGGTTTTTAGGAATGAACCGCAAAGATTGTGTGATGAAGACGAGTCCCATTGTAGCTCAGCTAATACCTTGTGAAAGGATTATCTCATCTCAGTTTATGTAATCTCTATATTGCCACATAAAACGCAAGCATATCAATCACATATTTAGTTGGGCATAATTGGTATTTAGTTTGCCTATTAGTTTTATAAAACTCAATTGTACAAACCATGAACAGTACATACTTTAATCCTAACAAAAGCATATTGGGCATCAACCCTCGCGCAACGCGCGTCATAAAACTAGTTCTACTAATATATGTGAATGTTTAACATCAAAACAAATTAGTGGGCGTGAAAAATTAGAAGTTATTATCTCATCAATGAAACACTTCGAACAAGTTAGGATGAATGGTTTATTAAATCAATAATTTTGAGAACAATAAAGAAGAAATCAGAAAAGTAACCAAATTTCTCTTGGACTTCTAAGAATTTTACAGAATTCACACGTTACACCAAAAGAATAAACCAGGAGAAAAAGAGCCTGATCGGAAGAGATGATCGGCTGCGGAGAATAAACAATGAGAAGTAAAGCTTGCTCAGAAGAGATGAGCAACTGGAGAGAAAAACAGCATGATTAGAAGTTGGAAGAGATGATATGCAGTGAAGAAATAATCACGATTAGCTGGGGTAGAATGATAGGAATAGGGATAGTTTGGGAACATTCGTTAATTATTTAATCGACTAAACTCAAACGTTAGGAATGATAACGTTTTGGTTCGGCCCTTTCTTCCCAGATTCAACTTGCTTAAGCTTGTTATCCAAAGAGGGCTAGTTTTGTATTTATTAGCTGAATTCAAAAAATTCCAGTCCATTAAGAGCTGAAAGCTCACGCAAAACATAGTCTTTATGTAATTAGGTTGGCATTTCTTATTTTCGCTCTGAATATGTATATCTTGGACGTGTGCCTCCACATGGCCGGGGAGATTTCTAGGCATTTGCCCCCATTCATTATATACTTCCATTTCATTTTAATTTGAGGCCTTTTTTGGGTTGTGTGGGTAGTCTTGGATTTTAGTTACTTATCCAACATTAAATGGCATCATAATACGGAGTACTACTTAAAAATGAAAGCAATAATTAGAACATTGGCTATGTTTACTTAACTAGTCAATTGTACAACCGATGATAATGAAAATAATACGTACAAATAAATGTAGGAGGACGTAAAAATTGTACTCCGTACATTATATGAATTACATTTTAATTGGACACATACTCATCATGTCATGAAAAAATACTCACAATGTGATCACCACATATAATTAATGTGATCGATTTAATAATAATGTGTTTGATAAATCAATGTTTAATGTCTCTATAGACTTACTTCTGTAAAAATGCACACTCCCTCCCACAACGTTAGATGAAATATTAAAATGAGAAAGTCTTAAAATACAGTAAATTTTCTATGGAGTTTACCTCAATTATTATGTCAATGACAATTTTGATACTCGACTTCTAATTGTTCCATTTTTAGTCCTTGACTGTTGTGTTAGAGACACTTTTAGTCCATGACTTCAAGGTTTCCCACATTTAGTCCCCGAGTATTGTCAAATTGACACTTTTAGTCCTCAAATTATGATTTTGACACAATAAGTGAAAGACTAAAAAAGTCATTATTACTCCATCCGTTCCCAAAAATACTTCCCACTTTCCTTTTTGGGCCGTTCCCAAAATTTTTTCCCACTTTCCCTTTTTGGACAATTTGTGTGCCTCACATTCATTTTACCTTTTTCTCACACAACCACAACCACACATTTCCACTTTATTCCACTTTCTTAATCTCCGTGCCAAGTCAATCCGGAAAGAATTTTTAAGAACGGAGGGAGTATAATAGTTGAAAGACCAAAAGTGTCACTTTTATCAAAGTTGAAGGACTAAATATGGAAATTTTTAAAGACGAGTACTAAAAGTATCTCTAGCACAGTAGTCAAGGACTAAAAATGGAAAAAATCAAAGTCAAGTAACAAAACTGTCAATGACATAATAGTCGGAGGATTAAAAGTGGAAAAAATCATTTTCTATGTATCTTAGTTATCATGATTCATGACATTCCTTGGTCAGCCATGACCAGAACTCGAGCTTCAACCACCATGTCCGACTCAATAACAACATGATTATTGGACATACTTCTCAAGGCATGCCTAGGGAAGGAATTCCCGGCCGGAATAAAGGTGTAATCCACACGTTTAATGAGGTTTGGGAAGAGAAGAGTGGATCTGAGATCCAAATCCCAAATACTTCTATTCCCATTGATACTCCCCCTTCCAATTGTAGATTTAATCTTCATTCCATGATCAACGGTATTCCTATCAACCATTACTTGATCAATCTCCTTAAATCCCCCATCCAGCTTAACAATATCTGTGTTTCTGTTTGTTCCGCTGAAAATGTTGTCCACGACGTTGACCCCGTGGATGACCCCGTTGACGGACTTGAAGCTGATAAAAGCGCCTCCGTAGAAAAAGCAGCCGGAGATATGGAGCTGGACAGGGTCCTCGGCGACTATCCCGGTGTAATCGAAGTAGGAATTCACTATCCTGGTATGGGTTACTCCGGGGAGCTGTATGTAAACCCCGGTACCGCCGAATCCGGCGGCCTTATTGTAACAATGCACGCCGGTCAACACGTTTCCTCGGCCGGCGATCTTGATTCCGACGGCGGCCGAGAAAACCACGACGTCCGTCACCGCGTTATCGTCTCCCCACAAATCTACCGCCGTCCCGGTGAAATGGCGCTCACCGTGATCGCCGCCGGCGGTGATGTGTTGACCGAGGAATGAGTTTTTGATGTAGGTCTTGTGGCCGCCGTTGACGAAAATCCCTTTTGTTGTGAAGTGAGTAATGTAACAGTTGTCAACAAAAATCCTTAGTGACTTCACCAGTTGAATGCCTCCTCCCCTGTAGTTGGAATCCAGAAATAGATCTCTTAATGTTATGAACCCAAAATTGAACTGTAATTTGCCGGATTGCGGATCAGATAAGTCGATAAGATATTTGTTCCCCGGAAAGTTGTTTGACGCCTTCAGTGTTCCACCGGAAATCTATTTTAGAGTATATCAAAAACAAAACTTAAGAATAAGAACTTGTAGGATAGTATGGAGTAACTAGTAAGGACTTGTAGTATATACTCTGTAGTTCTTTTCTTTGCCAAATAAATTTTGTACTCGGTATCACATAATTTCATCAAATATTTTAATAAATAGTGGAATAATTTATAAAGCCCATAAATATATCTAAAAACATGGGATGCCTGAGTGGGGTTGTAACTACTAGCTATTGAGTAGTGAGATAGTGTTACCACGAGATTTCCTAGTCCGGCGGTCGGGAGCTGAAGCGGGCGGCTAATAACATAAATCCCGCCATCAAGATCGACCCTTGCGCCGCCGAGATTCTGAATCTGGTCGAAAAGAACTCCACTGGAGGTGGATGTCGCATTTTTTATTGCTCTCAGAATCGCATCTGTGCTATCATATTTGCCGGTCGGGTCTGCACCGTATGATGTCACGTGATACACTCGTGCGCTTTCTTCACCCTACACCCCAATTAATTTATTAGACAAACAAAAAGAGATACTCGATAATCCAATTCAAACCAATTAAAAGAATCGGAAATTATCACAAGCTATCGCTAAATACGAATATTAAATTCTTTATCTAAATATGAATAGAAATCACGAGGATGGATGTTGAAGTAGTTCTTATTTCAATATACTCAATGAAGTAATTCACATATAAAAGCTAAATAGGTCAAAGTGATATAATGACGCAAACGTCATGTCACGATTTTCAAATATTTTCGTGATAATATATGAACTAATAAACTATTACGTACTTCATAAGATCTTGTTTACTCCTTTTGATTAAGTGATACAAAGAGAAACACATTAATATGTCAAGAAAATAACTCCGGAGTATGTTATATATACTCGAAACATATTAGGGAAATCTCTTAAAAGAATATGCGAAAACAATAAAGAGGGAGTTGAATAGTTACATATGAGTTTGAAGGAAGTTGAGGCCTTTGAAGCACTTTATCCTTCATACGTTTGATATTGATATGATGATCAAGATGACTTCCTCCATGAACATTATTTACGTTGGAGGTGAAGATAGCAGCAGTTGCTAAAAGAACTATAGAAAGGAGGGGAAAAGGCATCCTAGAAGTTACACCCATCTTTCCTCAATGATGTCGGATTGATTGATCACAGGATTACTGATATTAGTTTGCTTCGGTAATGAGAATAAATTGGTAGCTAATTAATCTAAGCTAGCCAGTTATATTGAGATAAAGAAGTATGGAATGTGAAGCTGAGGAAATAAAGTAAAGCTAACTAGCATCATAGATGAACCAGAAAAGTAAAAGATTGAAAAATGGTTAGCGTAAAGGCAAATATTCCATACGCATGAGAGAATGTATTATTCATCCCACTACGTTAAACCTTCAACGCGCATTTGGTCATCGCCTTCCAAATGCCGTTCTTAAGACGCATTACATATTTTCTAAGACTACATATGCTGGATATGATGCTTTAGCCTACTGGAAGTCAATAAAGTTTGTTTTGTGTTTCTTACATATGGTGTTTGTAAGCGTTGCAAAAAATGCTTAGCTAGATTCAATATTTGGTGCAAAAATCCATAAAGTGCAGTTAGAAAGCCCAACTTTGGGACTTTGGGTGTGAGATTCTCCGTGGTCAAATTTTCAATATTCAACTTATAATCAAGCTAAGGATCAAAGATGAGTCCTAGAGAGTTTATAATTAATCTGGCCAGGCCGGGTCCTGACATCGTGAGTACTTGGGACATATTGAAAAAAGGGGCCCTTAAAATAAAAGTTCAATACACAAAAATAGTACTTCGTAAAAATTACAAAAAACAATATCATCAATGTCAAAAGACTCAAGAGAGGCCAAAGTGCGCCTTCTCAATGCCGGACAAAACCTATGTGTAACAAATATCTATAAATTATACTCCCTCCGTAACATTTATATCTTCCCACTTTCCTTTTTTGGATGTAACATTCATATCTTCCCATTTCATAATTTTCCAATCATACCCTCAATAATTTTAAAAATAATACACTATTACACCTACTTTTTGGATTTATCCTTCATTCCAACACATTATTTCACTATTTTCCCATCATACCCTCAATAATTTATATCCCCTTTCACTATTCTTAATCTACCTACTTTCCAAATGAGAACATATATATGTTACGGAGGGAATAATAGTAATATACTAACATACCATAGTAGTATATAGATGAATGATCCTATCAGAACTACTTGACACTCTAACAAGAATCGTTATCTAGACACCTCCATTTGAGTTTCTTTTGGGTGGAAGTTTTTAATGAAATCTTGTGAGCATGTTGTTCATGCAGTGTATATTATGTCTACCAAATTTCAATTCAAAATTCAATCATTAAGTTGGTTAAATAAATTAATGAAAAATATTGTGTCAAAAAATATACAAAAACACACTATTTTTCAATCATTTACTCCCTCCGTCCCAGAATTAACTTCGGTTTTGACTGAGCACGGAGATTAAGAAAATGGGAAATGTGTGGTGGAGAGTTGTGCAGAGGAGAGAGAAATGTGTAAGAATGGTTGTTAACCACAAATCCTTTGCTAAAAAAGGAAAGAGGAGATAAATTCGGGACGGATCAAAAAGGAAAGAATGAAGATAATTATGGGACGGAGGGAGTACTTAATTACTTAACTAACTTCTCGATTGAATTTTAATGTGAAATTTGATAGACATAATCTACACTTAATAAAGAACGTGCTCATAAAATTTCACCAAAAATCTCATCCGAATGGTGGTTCCTATTAGGTCATTTTGATAGAACCATTTCTCATAGTATATGAGCATCGTGTAATAGATTATAGATGGGCCTGACAAAAAAAACTCCATAGTCATGAACACCAAATGTAACACTCCGTAGTAAAAGGTAAAAGACATAACGCATAAACAAACCCCAAACATAACGCATAAACAAACCCCAAAAAATATACTCCAAAGCTGTAGTTCCGCTCCAATCAGTCGGACACTATCGACTATTATTTGAATTTGTATAAGCCGAAGCTGAGTTGCTACATTTGCCATAAGGCAATGTGACATCACGAAGCTTAAAACCAATTTAAGGTTAGTCATCTTAAAACCAATTTCATACCCCTTCTTAACGGTATGGATGATTCCAAATTAGGAGTGTAATTGAGCTGGTTGAGCTCGAACTAGGGTGTGATCAACCTCAAATAATGCATCGACTCAAGTTCAAGTTCAAGTTCGAAGCGGTTTAATATTTCCGGATTGAGCTCGGCTCGTGTATAGTTGTAGCTCGGCTCCAAGATTTTATGCGATCCAAGTTCAAACCAGATTCTAAATCTTGACTTCGAGTTCGAGCCGAAGACAATTTTTTTACTTTAGAATTTTTAGTAATGGTATAAAATTTGTACATATAACAAATAGATTAATATACAAGTGCGTTTCCGCCGTTTCTTATGACTCACGGGTGAGAAGACAAATAAAATTGCGTCAAGCTCTCCTTGATTGCTCAAGGAGCTGGCTCAAGTTCTCATTTGGATATCCCTAAGTGAGTGTAGACTTAGGAAGTATTTACTTCGCTGCTAAAGTCAGAGTTAGGTTAGTAAGACGGTTGAAGTAAACACACACGCTACTTAAAAAGCCGCTTACTAACCGAAAAAGGTGTTAAAGTGTCGCTTACTAAACACACCACCCCTCATGTATTAATTAAGCGGCACTTTAAACTTTTTCAGGTTCCGAATTTACCCCTTGCTCTTACCCTATCGTTACCCCTCTACCCGCTACCCCCCACCCCGCCCAACCCTACTACCTCGACCCCAACACCACCCTACCCACTACCCCCATCCTCGTACCTTACCCCTTACCCTAACCCTAACACTACCCTACCCCAACCTGACCCACCCCCGACCCTACCCCTTACCTCGGCCCCACCCCGATCCCGACCCCACCCTATCAGCCATCTACCCCTACCCTACCTTACCCCTACCCCACCTACCCCTACCCCTACCACTTGCCCCTACCTCGGCCCACCCTAATCCCGGCCCCACCCTACCGCCATCCTACCCTACCCCCTTACCATACCTTATCCCGACCCCCACCCTACCCTACCTTACCCCGACCCACTCTACCGTACCCTCTACTTCGGCCCCACCCCGATCCCGACCCCACCCTATCAGCCATCTACCCCTGCCCTACCTTACCCCTACCCCACCTACCCCTATCCCTACCACTTGCCCCTACCTCGGCCCACCCTAATCCCGGTCCCACCCTACCGTCATCCTACCCTACCCCCTTACCATACCTTATCCCGACCCCCACCCTACCCTACCTTACCCCGACCCACTCTACCGTACCCCCTACTTCGGCCCCACCCTGATCCCGACCCTAATCGCCATCTACCCCTACCACATGCACCTACCTCGACCCCACCCCGATCCCAACCCCACCCACTATCATCCTACCCTACCCCTTACCCTGACCCGATCTGACCCCACCCCCTACCCTATCATACCACAGCCCTACACCTACCCTACCTTACCCCGATCCCGACCCCACCCCTACCCACCATCCCCACTCCTTACCCCTAACCACAACCCTACCCCACTCCCCTACCACTTGCCCCTACCTTGGGCCCACCCCGATCCCAGCCTCACCCACCCCAAGCCCTTCCTACCCCCACCCCCCACCACATGCCCCTAACTCGGCCTCACCCCGCTCCCGACCCCACCCTACCCCCATCCTACACTACCCTATCGTGGTAAGGGTAGGGTAGGGGTCAAGGGTGTGAAATTGGGGGTAGAATGTAGGGTGTAGGGTAGGGGTGGGGGTACGTGGGGGCGGGGTTACGGGTATGGGTACATGTATGAGGTGACCCCACATATTATATTGAATACTTGTGTTCATGAATGTTTGTGCGTCAATATATTTATAGGGTTATTTTGGACATTTTAATGTTAAACGGTGTTTTAAACCCTGTGAAGTAAACATGATCTTACAACATTGCTTATTCTATGCGCCGCTTATTAACGCGGGTCTTAATAAGCACCGTTTAGTAATCCGTGAAGTAAACACGTCTTTAGTGGCTCACGAGTACCTTGCAAGCGGCTTAATTTATTTGAGCCCATATTACAACCCCTAGACATCTTAAGCTCATATTCCAGAAAGACAATGGCACATATTTTGCCTTTTTATGAAAAATTTCAACAGTAGCATTGCCCATTTGCCCATCTTCAAAGCAGAAATAACGCCTATTACATTTATTCACTAGGCAAGTGTACAATGGACGAAAGGAAAATGTTTTTAAGAGACTAGCTAGAATACATACTAAAAGAGTGTACATCTAGGAAGACATTAAACGTGTACATGATAAGTACATATAATGTGGCACATATTCATCAAGTCATGAGAGAATATGACATTGTGATCATCACACAATGAATATGATTTTGTAGCAATGCCTTTATACAAGGTAACTGTATAATGTTTCCATAGACTTTTGTTCTGTAAGAACGCACACCCCCCCCCCCCCCCCTCATATTTGATGGAGTATTACACTTAACTGATGCATCTTAATCAATAAGACTTTCCTTGGTCAGCCATGACAATAACCTGAGCTTGAACTTTCATGTCTGACTCGATCACAACTCGGTTGTTCGACATATTTCTCAAGACATGCCTAGGGAAAGAGTTCCCATCAGGGATAAACATGTATTCCACATGTTGAATGAGATTTGGGAAGAGAAGAGTTGGGTTGAGATCCACTTCCCAGCTACGTTGGCTGCCATTGATACTCCCCCTTCCAATTGTGGATTTAAGGTTCATTCCATGACCAACAGTATTCCTATCAATCGTTACTTGATTAATCTGGTTAAATCCCCCATCCAGCTGAACAATATCTGTGCTTTTTTGTGTTCCGTTAAATATGTTGTCCACTACATTGACCCCGCTGATCAACCCCTTGACGGACTTGAAGCTGATAAAAGCACCTTCGTAAAATAAGCAGCCAGAGATAAGAAGCTGGACAGGGTCCTCAGCTATTATCCCTGCATATCCAAAGTAGGAATTCACTATTCTGGTTTGTGTTAATCCGGGGAGCTTTATGTGAACTCCAGTGCCGCCAGATCCGGTGGCCTTGTTGTAATAATGTACGCCCGTCAAAACGTTTGCTTGGCCGGCAAGCTTGATTCCGATCGAGGCCGAGAAAATCACGACGTCCGTCACCGCATTATCGTTTCCCCACAGATCTATCGCCGTCCCATTTAAACCCTGTTCACCGGGATCGCCGCCGGCCGCGATGTGTTGACCGAGGAATGAATTTCTGATGTAGGTTTCGTGACCGCCACTGACTAAAATCCCAATTGTAGTGAAATGAGTAATGTAACAGTTGTCAATAGAGATTCTTAGTGACTTCACCACTTGAATGCCTCCTCCCCTATAGTTGGAATCCAGCAATAGATCTCTTAATGTTATGTACTCAAAATTGTACTGTAATTTGCCGGATTGTGGATCCGATAAGTCGATTAGGTATCCGTTCACCGGAAAGTTGTTTGACGCCCTTAGTGTTCCTCCGTGAATCTATTTTACCAAATTTATTTTATATTAGAGAATAAATTAAGATTGAGGCTTTCTTATAATGAAAAACAAAACTAAAGCTT